ACCCTCCAGGACATGTTGAGGGCATGTGTCATTGACTTCAGTGGGAGCTGGGATTCCCACCTACCGCTTGCAGAGTTCGCCTACAACAACAGATATCATTCCAGCATTGGCGCCCCGCCTTTCGAGCTGTTGTATGGACTGAGATGTCGTACCCCAGTTTGTTGGGGTGAGGTCGGACACAGGGTGATGGGACGGACAGAGGTAGTCTTGCAGACTACCGAATAGATTCAGCAGATTAGGCAGCGACTGCAGACCGCTCAGAGTCGGCAGAAGAGTTACGCCGACTGGCGCCGATCCGAGTTAGAGTTTCAGGTCGGTGATATGGTACCCCTGAAGGTCTCGCCCTGGAAGGGTGTGATCCGCTTCAGGAAGAGGGGAAAATTGGGTCCCCGATATATTGGGTCGTTCAGGATCATGGCCAGGGTTGGCAAGGTGGCTTACAGGCTAGAGCTACCGGAGGAGCTTAGTCGGATCCACAGCACTTTCCACGTTTCACAGTTGCGGAAGTGCATTATGGATCAGGGGGCAGTGGTGTCATTGGATGATATTCAGGTCGATGAGTGCTTGAATTATGTTGAGAGGCCTGTGGCCATACTGGAGAGAAAGATGAAGATTCTGAGGAACAGGGAGATACCTTTGGTGAAGGTACAGTGGGAACACCGTAGGGGGTCCGAGTGGACGTGGGAGCCAGAGGTAGAGATGCGGGAGCATTATCCGGAACTGTTCACCGCGGCAGACTTTGAGGACGAAGTCTAGTTCGAGTGGGGGAGAATTGTAACGCCCCGATTCTCAGGTATTGACTTAATATAAAGTTCTTTGATTTCAAGGTCTACTCGACGAGTTGGTTGCCCTACTCGTCGAGTAGCAGCGGGTTGGTCCGCATGTTTTAGTGACCTACTTGCCGAGTCCAAGAAGGGACTCGACGAGTAGGAGCTGGCAGATGAAACCCTAAATCTCGGGGTTTTGCACCCTATTTAAAGGATCAACAGCCTCCCTTCATCCCCCTTGCAGTCTTTTGAGAACCAAACCAACCCTAATTCGTGTGTGTGCTTCATTTTGTGTGTTCTTAGTTTTGGAAGGTGAATCTTAGTGAGGAAAGCTTGGAGAAACAAGTGGCTAGAAGCAAGGAACTTGTGGGGATCAGAAATCTACCTCAGTTAGCATCAGTTGAAGGTATCAAGTCGTCACCTTTACCTCATTTCTTTCTAGATCTCATTTGGGTGAAGTTTAGGGTTATTTTGGGCTTGGTTATGATGTTATTGTGGTGTATGGGCTAGATCTGAAGTTGCAACTTCAGATCTGGACCCTTCTTGGGTTCTAGGTTCATAAAGTTTGGAGCTTGGTCATGTATGAAGCCTTCCTTGAGTGTAAAACTCCATTATAATCTTGGATTTGTCATTAAGAGCCTTTAGAGCCATGTATGCACGTAAAGTTTGCAATTTTACGTGATAAACATGCCTTAGAAGCTTGGATCTGCAATATGGAGCCGCTGCATGGCTTAAAAAGTGTCTGTATGGGTGAAGGTCTGAAGGGGCTCGGCGAGTTGCATAGTCAACTCGGCGAGCCACATGAAGATGGCCATGTACTCGACGAGTTGGATGAACAACTCGGCGAGTCCGTTGAAGATTGCCTTGGACTCGGCGTGTCAGTCGAAGACTTGACGAGTCGGCTATGGTTTTCCCAAACCTTTGGACCCGTATGAACTCGGTGAGTTACAGGGAAACTCGACGAGTCAACCAAGGATTTCATGACTTCTCGAGTTCAGGAAGGACTCGACGAGTCGGGTCAGCATGGACTGTTGACCTCGACTGTTGACTTTGACTTTGACCAAGGGTTGACCAGTTGACCTCTGGGGGTATTTTGGTAATTTGGAAATTTATGGAAAGGAGTTTTATGGTGACTATAGGTGGTGGAGTTCGTGTTGGTGATTCGGGAGTTGAGCTTTCTATTTCCAGTCGGCACTTGCAAGGTGAGTTATCCTCACTATACTAAGGGGGTCTAAGGCACCAAGGCCGGCCCATTGGATATGTTATCTTAGCAGTGTTAGATGTTGAGTATAAGTTAGTGTTGCATGCTAGTGGTTATGCCAGTTAGGTAGATCTGTAGGACTACCTATGATGTTATATGATTATTGCATGCTCAGTAGTTATGTTATATGTTATATGTTATGGGGGATGGGTTGAGGTGATACTGCTCCGTGCGGTAACCAACAAACCCAGGAGCATTCCAGATACGGGCTAAGGGAGACCCGTACTGTGGGCTCGATGGCAATCCAGATGTGAGCTCTGGGCCCGAAAGGCAATCCAAACTCACACTGTGGGCCAGTGGTAATCCAGTAGGTGGAGCATTCCAGATACGAGCTGGGGGAGACTCGTACTGTGGGCTCGATGGCAATCCAGATGTGAGCTGCGGGCCCGGTAGGCAATCCAGACTCACACTGTGGGCCCAGGGGTAATCCAGTCTACAAAGTTGTGGACCCATTATATGCTGTTCAGTTTGTTATGTTATTGCTGACATGGTTATATGGACTGTATGTGTATCAGTATTTTGGGGGTAACTCACTAAGCTCTCGGGCTTACAGTTTCAGTTTATTGTTTCAGGTACATCAGGGGATCGCGGCAAGGCGAAGGCGTGATCGTACAGCTCCTCGTGTTTTGTTTATGTTTCTGGGAAAACTCTGATATATACATTTTGAAAACAAGTTTTGTAATAACTAATGGTTTGTGGATTGTTTAGAAAGTTTTAAATTGGCTTGAAATTTTTGGGTGTGACACAACTACTGACTCATCGAGATCCTCCTAAACTCATAAAACCATAAAAACCCTAATTGACTCGCCGAGTTTCCAACCAACTCGTTAAGTCCATGCGTGTCCAAATGTCGGGAAGAACCCTAACTGACTCGTCGAGTCTTCTTACTGACTCGCCGAGTCCATGCAAAGCCAATACAGGCAATTCTTCAACCGACTCGTCGAGTTGACCATGCAACTCGTCGAGTCCCTTCAGTCCATTACTCAATCAGTCGATTTTAAGCTGCTCCAAAGCTCCAAACAGTAGATTTAAGCCCCTAGGGTGATGCTATCACGTAAAGTTGCTAACTTTACGTGCATGCAAGGTTCTATGAAGCTAAAACACTCATAAATAACATTAGGAGAAGGTTTTAGACATGGAGAAGGGCTAAAGCTTCATAAAGCTTGAGGCTTTATGTCCATAAGGCCTTGGGAAGTCAAGATCTGAAACTATGCCCTTGTGACCAGCTCAAATCCGATTGTGACTCCTACCTTGCCCTAAAATGACCATTTCTTTTACTAAAAGGGAGATCTAATAAATGAAATGTAAAGGTGGCAACTTTATACCTCAATCTTGTTGCTACAATACTGGAAAGGCTGGATCTACAAGCTCTTCCTTGTTCCAAGCTCTTAACTCCTCAAGAAATGCTCCAATGCACTTTCTTTTGGTCTCACACACTCAAAAAATGGAGGCTAGCTAGCTATTAGGGTTTCTCTAGACGTGAAGGTGACAAGGGAGGCTTAGGAGGGAAGTTAAGGACCTTTAAATAGGGTGCAAACCCTACAATTTTAGGGTTTTCACTTTCCAGCACCTACTCGTCGAGTCGGGTCCTCCAACTCGTCGAGTAGGGTTTAAAACCCACGCGACTGATTTGGTCTCTACTCGTCGAGTTGGCCTATCAACTCGCCGAGTCGCCTTTAAAACTTGACTCTTGTAGCTTTAGACTTGACAAAGTTACATAAATGGTCCCTGTGGCAGGAACGATTTACATAAATAGTCCTTATGGCATAAAGGGCAAATGAGTCATTTCACAAGGGACTTAACTGAAAAAGTTAACACCGTTCGTCAAAAAGACCGTCTTTGCAAGATTTTGAAACCACGGGGACCATCTACGCATAAAATTTGTCATAAGGACCAAAGTTGGTCAATTGTGTCAACCACAAGGACCATTTATGTAATTTTGTCAAATAAAAATAAGGAAAAATATTATTTTATAAAGTTGAAACTTGAAGGATAAAAATAACATTTTTAAAACAGAAAGAGAAAATACTATTTTATAAAATATTTATAAAGTAAAATGTTAAATTTATAATTTTAAAATTGGAAAACGTTAATGATAATAGGATTATGGGATAATTTGCTGAGAGATGTAATATTAATACTATTTTTTATAATTTTCTTTGCAACACGTATTGTGGGCTTTAGCCCATTCCCTGATTCAATTTCGCTTACTCGAACTATTTGAATCATTAGAGTTCAGTCTTGTACCAGATCCAAACAAATACTTGGGTAACCTGAAATGCAGCCATGGTTTTAGGGTCCTGTATGTTGCGGTTTGATTTAGTTATCGGTTAAAATCGAACCATAATTATTACAATTGGTTAATGTATTTCGATATCCATTGGTTAGCGGTTAATGATGGTTTTGGTTAACGGTTTAAATCGGTTAATGGTTATAGTTAATGATTAATATCGGTTAACTATAATGGTCCACGATAACATAAAAATAAAAATATTTTTCAATAAAAATTGAAAAAAACATAAACTCCATTGCTATAGAAAATGAATGATTTTGTATATATAATTGTATTGATAGACTAAGTTATTCTATCTAAATCCAAATAATTACCTTTTGAATTTTCAATTCCTAATATAATTGCGTACCATATATTTAATATTATACTATATTAAAAATATATATTAATGTTATTGGATTCTGTTCGGTTTATAGTGATTCAGTTTTTATTTTTTAGTAATGGTTCAGCTATATCGGTTAATTTGGTTATAGTTCAGTTTTTTGGTTAATATGTTCATCCTTCATGGTTCTGTCATTTTTTAAGATTCTGAATTTCATTAAGGGATAATATCGGTGACCTTTTAGTTTAAAAGGCACCCACAGTTTAGTTTAGTTTATTTATTATTATTATTATTATATATATATTAAAATTGTGAAAAGTTTTAATAGTAAACTTTACTGTAGGATTTTTGTCAAGAATGGTCCCTGTATTATTGTTACTCTTTTATTGTTGGAAACTTTAGGGGGTTTTGTGGAAAATTAAATCCCAAAGGGACTTATGAACAATTTGAAACCGTGTTTAGTGGTTAGGTTATTACTTCCCGATCCTTCTACCACTGCTGCTCCAAATTCCCACCGCTCACCTCACCGCTCTTGCCATTCATTTGGAACGTCAATTGCACCACAAAACCTTCGATTCGCGTCTACGAAGATTTGAATCGAACCCCCTCACCGCGATTGTCGATTCACCGGAGAGATCAACCGATGAGGTCGACGCCTACCAACCCATAAAAAAGGTGGCTGGTCAGACCGGCGGCAAAGCTTTTCCCTTTGTTTATTTTTTCTAATCCATTGGTTTTTTTTATTGTTTCAGGGAGGATTTCCAGATACAGTACAAAGAAAAGCATCCGAACAACAATTTCGTTCCTATTCCCAACAAGCCCTTTGTCTTCATCGGACCTGCAATACGCAACCGCTTCTCTTTCCCTGCTCTTTCTCCGACACTGAGCATCACCAAGTTAGATTTTTATCAAACCCTCTTATTATTTGTATTGTCGATTGGTGTCTAGGGTAACATGTTCGATTTTAGGCGGCTTTGATGTCTATCGTGCTCATTTTTCCTCAATTTCCCTAGGTGTTATTTTTTTTATTTATGATTTATTTGATTGATTTTTCATTTTTTTTTCATGCCTCGTCTGTATGGTCCGACTATCTACATGTGTTTGATTTTTTTCTTTGCTCCCTGCTTTTGTGGTTGTTCAGAAGCTAACCGAAGAATTTTCGATTCCGACATTCCATACATGTAACATCATCTTTACCTTTCATAAATGCATTTTGACGTATTTAGTCTTTCCTACCTGAGTAACTTCATTTCAGTTTGCAACCTTATGCCTCATATAGGAAAACGAAGTTTGTTATTCAAATAAGGGAGAATCAGGATATTGCATTGAAGAGTGTCAAGACACCACCATGCACAAGTTGCTTCAAACTTCATTTTTCTAATTGGATTATCTGAAACTGCTTGATAAAACTACTTGATTTGTATTTCAGGAATGAGCTATAGAGAAAAGTGAGAAAGAAGTAGAAATAGAGGAAGAGAAAGGCAAAATGAAAAAGAAAGAGATGAAAGTATGAGGATAAGGAGCAGCAGACGTCAGAACTGGTTAGCGAATACATGAAAGATTTTGTTATCAGTCATTTTAGTTTGAATTTTCTTTGGGATGTCATAAATTTCGAAAATTGAGAAATTTTCTTAACATTTGTTTGAATTTGAATGCGAAGTGTTTATGTGTCAGAACTGCAATTATGTGTCAGAACCACATATTGATTAAATTGTTTTAAAACTTCAATTTGATTAATAGACCTATCCAGTATAAGGGTAAAATGGCCATTTACTTATTTAGACAATTGAAATTAGACCTGATTCTATAAAATCTTGAATAATTACCTCACATTTTTAAGTTGTTTCTTCATTCTACTTGATGAGATGTCAACTGATTCAGTTGTGTCTCAGGTATAATGCATTTTAATTTATGATATATTTTTGTCACTTTTTTTTTTGCTACAGCACAGGGATAAATATGCAATTGTTGATCACTGCACGGGACAAGTTAAGTGTCAAGGGAATTGGTGCAATGGTTGATGTTAATCAGTATGCGATGTAATTGAGGCCAAGGGTATAATTGACAATTCGTACAGAAAGTTCCAACCACAACCATTACCTATACCACTAGGAGGTAATGGTTTTCCAAGCTGCTTCAAGTTTACGTACTCTAAGCCTAGGTTTGCCTTTTTAATGTCAATTGTCTTATTCTTTTTAACTCGAAGATTGAGAATAATAATTTTCTTTATTTGAATTCATCTTTTCAGTGATGGAACGATACCTTAGAAAATCTACTCCTATGGGCTGATTTTTAAAGGTACCATGCTACAATAGAAAAAAAAAGCAAATTAATCCCATATCTACACATATTGGTCCTCAACGCTTAAATTTTTCCAATTTCATGCTTCGTTGATTTCAGCTTATGTTTGATTTTGGAGTTTTCTTGAGGGCTTACTCCTCCCGTGACATTCCAGATCCTCTTGCCTCTCATGATCAAGAAGATTCCAGTCTTAGTTGCCAAAAGAAAGGTGCTAAAGCAAACTAGACTTATCAAAAAGCATGAGAATTGACCCAAAGCCCCTTTCAACCAGCTGCTTATGATGGCATTTATGATGTGGATGTCTGGAAGCAAAGTCCATTTTTTTAACATTGTCATTACGTTTTAAGCTCTTTAGCAGCCATTAAGTGCTCTTCAAGGAGTTAGGAAGGTTTTTTTAACCTTTTAAGGATAACAAAGTACACATTCTTGCACCCAACTGTTATTCATTTCCCTGAATTTAGGAGGTATGTTTCTTGCACCCAACATTGAGGCTTCTTCTAATTCATGCTTCTGATTGGGTTTCATCTTACCACCTGCTTATGAGATTGAATTTTCAAAGTGGAGTATTAATCTGCACTAATACTATTTGTTCATGTATCTGGTCTCATCTGAACATTAGTTTTTATTCTGCTGAGTTAGAGGAGAGGAACTCATGGATACTTGGTTGTTATTTTAGCACTTAAAACACCTAAATATATGAGGAGAGGATATTCCTTTGGGGAGGAAGAGGTTAGTCTTCTGACTTTTCTCAATGATGTGCCCAAGAAGGACAAAAAGGTAAAAAAAAAAAACGGAATGCTTAAAAGGTTAAAACTTCGGGTGAGTCTCCTTGCTTTATTATATGATTTTATGATTCTCATATAAGTTTCTCATATTATGCCAATTATTATTATTATTACACCTATTCTTCTCGAGCCCTAAATGTTTTGTAGGTGTGCATGTGAGATATAATCAAACATTGACCCAGTAATGTTTTCTGATAAGATTATGAAATTTTGAACATTGCTGTTTTCTTTGAGATATGCTTTCTAACTAGATGCAGTTTTCTTTAAATTAAGTTTTCTAACTAGAGTTTATATATTATTTTTTTGTGTCTACGGATGTTGAAAGAAAACGTATACAGAGTGTTTAAGATCAAAGCGATGGTGATTGAAGCACTCGAAAAGTAGGGGAGGTAATTTATTTCTTTTTGGTTGCCTTGGATATGATACAAGTTGAGACTGATATAGAAACTCCGGAGACAATATGTTACTGAAAATTATAGAGCTATCTACTCAAATTTTTAGAGGATACAATACAAGATGGAATGTAATGATAGAAATGTCGTCTTTGGTTATTGCCTATAGCCTTCACATGATATTTTGTCATTGTCACTAACACCATAACCACATGGAATTTTTTTTGACATAAATGCCCTTTTGGTGCCTCTTGATATATCTGGTCTATGCCAAATATGGATATTGTATCCAATGCAAGCTGCAGTATTCATTTGAGTTCTTCTTATTCACCTTTTTTATTTTTTGTCAATATAGCAGCATTTTATAAAATAAGTTTATTATTTATTATGAATCAATAATCTTTTTATATATAGGTCGTTCGTGATGAGTTTGGTATTGTCATAATAGATCAAAAGTGTATATAATTCATTTTTTTTTTTTTTGTGTTTCAATAAGCACTTCAGGTAACAAAAGTGATGGATTCCAGTTTCCATTTTGCATCAAGACCAGTCATGGAATGGAATCACTAATTCCAATTCCAATTCCAATTCCAATTTTGCTTCTCTACAAATCCGCATAGATACAGTTGATGATATAGATAGTCTAATGTATTATTTTCTTAATTCAATGGAATAGTCTTCCATCCATTTCTATTTTGATTTTATCCATTCATTACAGCTGTTTGCATTCCTATCTACTTAATTTGAAGCCCTTTTCCTCCGAAATTCCAAGATTACCTAATTGAAGGTACAAAATCTAGGATTATCTATTGTTCAAGAAGTTTGTGGTCTGGAAAAATACACAGGTTCTACTCATCATTCCAAGTTCTATTCACTACATTAAAAGTACAATGTTGCATCCATCATTTGGGGTTGTATGTGTGCCTAATATATTCTACATGGTGGCAGATATCTAATGCAGGTCATATATATTAAGCAAGATTGAAGGGTCAAGAATCAGTGGTTAAAGCATGAAGACCAAGTCAAGGATCTTTTTTATATTGATTTTGAAAATATGCGGGTTTTTTTTTTACACATTTCTCATTATCTTTCAATTTTTCTCCTATTATTATCCATATTTTTACTTTGTAACTCTTGACTTGGCCTGAGTTCAACATGCTTTGCTCCAAAATTAGTCAATGTATATAATTAACACTTCATTGAAACATCCTAATCTTACTCTAAGCTTCCGCACTTTTAAGATCCTTCAGGTTAAACTTCAAATTCATGGCAGACTTTTCAAGATCTGTTAAGGAATGAAAATAATTGGTTGTAGGTGTTGATTAGGTTGCTGATATGCATTATGGAACTGAATGACTAGGTGTAGAGATGGTTCAATAAAAGAGCTCAAAAATGATTTACAAACTCCAACCAAAAAATTGCCAGCCTATTCTTGAAGCTTTTGAAAGGATAAAAAAGGTATTCAATATTCATATTAGTCGTAGAACCTGCACCTGGACATTATTTCTTTACTTCATTATATAGATTCATTCTTTTTATAAAAGTTGACTATTATAGCCTTCCGGGACAGACTTTGGGTTGATGATTAGGTATTATGCAAAGAAAGGGGACAAGCATCAACCAAGAGAAATGTTTGGGGTCTGAGGTATGTACCACTGCCATCATTTATGTTAAATCTTATTACTTTCTTTATATGGTCTTGACTACTCATTGGATTTTAAATTTTCAACAATAACCTAATGTTTCTTTCCTGGGATGCAACTTATCAGGGAATTGCTGGTGTACAGTTTGATGTTGTAGGATAGGGGTAATTTAGAAATCAAGGGTATGCACAATCAAGGCAGAATATGATACAAGAAGCTCCAGTGGAAATGCCATACAGGCAGGTTCTGATCACCGAATCTCTCATCAACGATCACGACAAAGACACTGTGCTCATGCTCGACATGTTCCAAATAATGCAGGAGAACATGAGTGCAGCAACAGACATCTGCAAAAAAATCGTTGAAGACCACCGAACACCATAAGGAACCACACTGTTGTAATCGAATGCCCTGTAATGATCTATTAATGATGTAATGATCTATTAATGAATCGATATCTTTTTATCGTCATCTCTTGATACATTTATCTACTCCAAAAACAAAACTATACAAACGAAAACAGATATGATTCGTTGTATATTTAAAAAGGGTATGGAATGTTTTGGCTAACTGTTCGACCCAATATCATACGACCATATCAACTCCCCCTGCCCCCCGCGAAGCGGGGGTTACCACTCTAGTTAGTATTATTATTATTATTATTATTATTAAGGGATATAGTTCAGTTTTAAACGGCTAGTTATTATTATTATTATTATTATTATTATTATTATTATTAAGGGATATAGTTCAGTTTTAAACGGTTAGTCTGGTCCCCTTACCTAGTGTAACTAGTTTACTGCCATATATGCAAGTTTATTGGGCGGTGTAAGGTTTAATAGATACGCAATAATGCTTTGTGTGTAATTAATTACCAACGTGACATTATTGTGGAGAACTTGGTCCCCAAGCTTGTTAGTTTGGCTATGACCCACTTATAAAAGCAAGGAAATAAATCGATCAAACTAAGAAATTTATTAACCCAATTCGAAAAATACTTGTGTCTTCTTATTTAAACTATATAAACCGATGAAATTGAAAAAGTTTTCCTTTAACGGGCTTAGCGCGCACAAATTTATCCCCCCCATTGTGTGAGTGTGACGTTATATGTTTGGATATGCGAAACGAAATATCGCATGTTGGTAGCTGAAAGAGGAACTGTCGAATGAGATGAAGTGTATGAGCGATGCGCTTCAGTCTAAAATGTGTGCGATTAAGAGGAAGATGCAACTATACAAGGTCTCATTCTTTGTTTGTATAGTGGGGATTATGGCGAGCTTTATCATCTTGCAGTAATGTTAGAACATTACTATAGTGTTCTCTTTTGTTAATATTGGGTATATGTATGTATGGTTAGATTAAGGTGTAGCAAATGTGTTGGGTTAAGGAATTGTAGTTTGTTGATGAAGTCCTGAAGAGTTTTATGCAATTTTGTTAATTCTAATTTGGTTGATCATTGTATGATCACTGTTATAATAGATTTTCTAAGCTATTAGACCCAATGGATATGATATATACATGTTTGACTATTCGTCTGTTTTGCAAGTTCTTTCCATTTTTTATATATATAATGCACAATGCGTACAGTTTTATGTCCAATTATTAAAGTACATAATACTTTCTAATTGTATTTCTTTTGTTTACAGTTTTAAATAATACACCTTTTGACAGTTAAATAGGGAAAATACACTAGTGTGAACTTCATTACATACAATATAGTGTCAAACATTACCAATTGTGCTTTCATTGCACTTGATCAGGTGACACAATTGTGCATTGTTGACCAATTGTGCTTTCATTTCCCTTGATTAGATGACACAATTAGAAAAACATTGGACCACATGACATAATTACATAAAGATTGAACCACATCGATGACCAGTTGTGCTTTCATTTCACTTCGGTAATGAACCAAAGTGATGTAATTTCCATTTCACTTGGGTAATGAACCAAAGTGCCTGTAAGTTCTTTATAGAAAAATTTAGGACCAATTATTGAATTATTTAGTGCAACTTCCATAAAGTAACATACTTGACATCAACCACATATTCCTATAAATTTACTAAAACAAACATTTAGTTTCTTGAAACACACAACAAAATTGAGTCACAATAAACCATAAGAAATTGACAATAAAAAACTTGTATGTGGAACACCACATACTCCACTCAAACCTAATCTATTGCCATTGGTTTTGCGGCATTGATTCCTTCACCATTCTTTCCTTTAACCATTTTTCCAGTTTCTTTTTAATAATCCTTTGTATTTTTCTAACCCTTGTATGAGAAACATTAACTTCATTAATGCACTCTATATTCACCAATTCACCTTGCGTAGTTTCATGGTGTGCCACTTCCCCCATATTCACATCTTGACGATGCACTCCTTTTATGTTCACAAATTCATGAGTTTCTCTCATCTTATGTTCACAACTTCCTGAGTTTTTCTCATATTTTATTTTTTACACCCTTTGTCTTCAAACTCTTTTAACTCCATCAAAACATACGTAAAGCTTGCTAAAATAATTCTTACCATCTATCATTGAGTTCACATCTAGTATAACAACATATCCTAGATTTGATCTTCTAATCTCTTTACTATATAACCAAAGTTTAGCACAATGTTCTACAATGCTATCTTTAATAAGATACAAAGTATGTTTCTTGGTTCTTGTACACTCTCCCATACTCACATATATGCCAAAATTCATTTAAACCTCTTTCTACACTCATTTTCTGTTTATATATGATTTATGTAGTGTAATTACTACCAATTCAACAATAACAAACAAAAAACCCTAATTTTCTATCATAATTATGACAAGAAGTAAGAGACATGATTTGGAAAGAGTGCTCATCACACATCCTTGAAGCCCAAAGAATAAAGGTACACAATCTATAACAACATTTACCAAGAGCCTTCTACTATCATTATATATATTTTTTTTAAAAGTTAATAGCTAGAGGTGCACAAATGCAGGATCCGATCCGGTTTTGATTACGTCATGAAAAATCCGATCCGGTCAAGATCAGATCCGGATCCGGTCAAAATCCGATCCGGTTTCAACCATAATCTGAATCCGATTTCAAACCGGTTTAAACTGATTGTTAGTGGGTTTTAGCGGAAATTGGGGCGGATTTGGATCCGATTTTTGGAAAATCTGGTATCAAATCCGATTTTTTCTGTAGGATTAGGATCCCGTTTGAATCCGATGGAACGGATCCAATCCGATCCGGTTTGGTCAAATCCGATTTTTTCTGTAGGATTAGGATCCCGTTTGAATCCGATGGAACGGATCCAATCCGATCCGGTTTGGTCAATTCCGATTTTGACCAAAACCGGTTTTGGGATCGGATCGGTTTCAAATTGAGGATCCGGTTTTTGTGTGTATCTCTATTGGCAGCCATTGAAAACTGCATAATTTCATAACATGTGTTTCAATTGTTTTGGATTTTGAAACCACATATCTAACACATGCTTCTATTTCTGTTGATATACAACTTTATTAAATTTTGTTTACATTTCAACTTGTATGTCATTCTCACCCATCTTAACATCTAGGTTCCTCCCTAGGTAGTCTTTTAAGGATGAGGTTTCCCTTATGGAAATGCATACTAAAAACGAGTCATTTTTGTTCATGTTAAGACGAGTGATGAAAACATTTACAACTAACTCATCATGCAAATCTCCTCCAAATCTGGTATAGTTGGTTGTCTGTCATTAGGACTGTGGCCTTAATCTTTCCTTTCATACAACCACTCCTCCAAATTAGTACCGAAGTCGTCTATATACATGGGGAGTACACAGTTATATCTATAATCAATGTCGATGAACTTAGCATAATCAAGCTCATTGGATATTACCCTCAATCCTTCAGGAAAGGGAAACTCAAGAAAATAGTACAACTTCACACATTTATCTTGTTTATATCTTTCCAGAAAAGCTACACATTTGTCTTTTCCATTTCATCAAAATACATGTTTTCAAACTGGTGATATATACCATTAGAGTAAGCAGAAGTATACCTGGTAAATTTTCCTTGAAAGTGCACATCAACCTTCATGTATTGTGTAAATTTTCTCTTGTGTATGGAAGGATTTATCAGGTAAAGGAGGAAGCAGAAAGAAGAGGGGTTGATCTATGATCCTAATTTAAAATCATAATTCATTTTGTTCATTATGACGTACATGGACTTATCTATGTGGCACCTCATTTAGTGACTTGGCATTCAATTGATATTATGTGGCAATGTAATTTAATAAATAGGCAAGAGTTATCCGGGTTACCCCTTCACCTCTCTGACAAAGTACGTTTTGAATCCAAGACAATCAACTTTACGCCCCTACAAAGACAAAAAAACTTGGGGGGCCTTTTAAACAAAAATAGACAAGTTCGTTGGGACTTTGTGACATTATCCCTTTGATTAAGAACCATATTTGATAAATAGTAACTTTGACAAACCTTTCCTTCATCTCCGGAAAATTTCTAGAAATTTTTAGAAAACTAGAGTCAAAATTCAAATTCGAACTGTGCTTTATAAAATTTAAAACCCATCAATCAGTCATTTTATGGCGAATTGGCTACTAGAAATTAACCATAACATAAAGCACAATGTATAATATCAATAAGATTTGTTGATTTATGTTTAAAGCAATGCGTCTTATGTTTAAAGCAATGCGTCTGTGACATCCCCCATTTTTCAGAACCAATTAAAACATTTTTCTTTATGCTTTAATATTTGAGATGCGGAAATTCCCAGTAAAACAATTTTTTTGAGATAACAAAATTTGTTTCGTTTAGTTAAAACCCTAAGGATGCCATCGTTCATATCAAAACATACATCACAACGTAAATATTAAAAGGTCCGGAAACTACTTATTACACGTACATCTCTTTATTCTACTCAGCATCCTAACTAGACTTCGACAGCCTTACATTCGTTACCTGTGATGCATAAAAAGAGTGGGTTAGGTTTGGGCAATTGTTTGACTGCACAACTAGGGGAGTCCATGTCCAGTGTAAGTCAAGGTGACTAATGTTCAGAGATTTGATAAATATGGTATCCCATTTTATCTACGTCCATGGGTTATAAGTCCATGCTAGCAACGTAATTCACTAGACAGCCTAGAATAATCAAGTGTTGTCATCTACTCTGGTCGATGACCCATACATACTTGCCCGTTGTCTGATCTGGACCAACCATTTCTAGCCATCCAAGAAAGAGGAGAAACATTCTGCTCTGATCTCACACACTCTACTCCGGTCATGAGACCTATTCGATGTCAACCTTAAATTGAACTAAGCAACCTTTACAAGTCTTATTTTTAAACCTAAGGTAATACTTATAACTAAGGGCAATCGATTTCCGCTGCGGTTTCTAATCCAATAGTATTATCCTAATTACACAAATAACATACAACGCAGATTATGGTCTTAATAATAACTCCGCAATCACTTGACAAAGTGTTTGGTGATTGGTGAAACGGGAAGAGCTTCGCCTTACACATTTCCAAAAGACCTAGATGTACATAACGACTAGTCTTAGTCTAATTTCATGATTTATGAACTATTATCCTATGGGTTTAGATTCCTCAAGATTCCTAAATTCTACTTCAAGATCTATATAAGGAATAACCAGGTAGGATCATATCGGAGGTATGGTCCATTTGGTATACAAAGTATACTGTTTGGAAATCTCACTTTAAACACCTCACTAAATCAAGCCTAGTCATCACTCATGTAAGTAGATCAATTAGTATAATAACTTGGAATCACTGATAAATCTTAATTATAGATTCATAATAATGACTATGACTATAATTAAAAGTTACACTTAACATAAAGTAAGTGTAGCTTAACTTACAATGATTTTTGATGAAAACCGGGATCTAAAAGGGCATAATACTGACTTGGAATCTCCTACTCGAATGCTACTACTCAGATGAGTACTCAGGGGTGTCGCAAGGCTTCGCCACAGAACAAAAACAAAGGAAAAAGGGGCTAAAACAGAGTAAAACTCGAGAGAATATCGACTGAAATGGTGTGAGGACGAAGGAGTGAATTAGCTGCTATTTATAGGATGGTTTCTTGGGATGCACGCCACACACCATAGTGGCACGTCGTGCACTATGATGGTGTGGCTCTTCAAGCCTGCTGAAACGTGTCACGAATTGGGTGGGGATGGGTGGCAGCTTCTAGAAGCTTCTGCGCGTCGCGCATGCGCGTGCCGAATTTTAGATTTTCAAAATTACGTAACTTCTTCATACGAACTTTTTTTTGACGTTCTTTATATCCTCGAAAATCTCTCGACGAGATCTACAACTTTGATTTAGACTCCGTTGGCTAAGTTTGATTTTATATTTTTCACACACGCATAGACTGTTAAAGCCCGTATAAAAAACATAACTCTCTCATCCGATGTCCGTTTTTGACAGACTTTATATCGTTGGACTCCTATTAACGAGATCTTCAAATATTGTTTAGATTATGTTGGCTAAAAATCGACCGATCAAAAATTCGATTTCTGAGCTGTATATTGTTACGCTGAAACTTAGAAAAGTCATAACTTCCTCTTACGAAGTCAGATTTAGACGTTCTCTATATGCATGCTCCCGGTTTAACAATTACTATGACTTTTGTTTAGATTAATTAGGCTAAAAGTAATTTGTCAAAAATTTACTTTTTACGATATACTACAACTTGGTTAAGATTCTTTATCCTAAATAATCTTTTATCATCAACGCGTATTTTAATTTTATTTATTTTATTATTAAATACTAATAATAATTTACACATAATATCCTATAAAACACGTAAGCATATATATATATATATATATATATATATATATATATATATATGAATAATCATTTCTTATTCATTCATATAAAGATTACAATAGTTGACCAAAGTGATTACAGACTATGACTAATCTAGTAGGAAACATGGGCGTTACAGAGTCATGCCTTCAATAATAATAAGGACCAAATATCTCCTCTTGTTTTCTCTATCTTTGGCTCTTTGCTGCCTTTAGTCGCAACTGCTTTTCATGATGCGGTTTTCTAAGACCAATCTAATGAACCAGTCCTCTCCTTTTTATGATGTATGCCTTCTGCAATAGGCACACCGAGAGGGGTCGTGGTCTATGTGTCCACGATCGTTGTTCGTGAACACTACCCTAAACCTTCATGGTGGGGCGTGGTTGTTCTTGTTAGAGATGCAAAAAACGAGTGACAACGGCCAATAGAGAGCCGTTTGAACCTTCCCATCTTTGACTTGCTTTGACTAGCCGTTTGTCGACATTTTTTGATTTTTTTTTAAAAACAACCATTTACCTATATAAATACCACAATACACAACCTCATTTTTACACTAGTCTTCTCTTTCTCTTTTAAACATTTACACACACAACTTTCTTTACAACAAAAAACCATGGATTCCAATCAAAATACCCTCCCCCCCCCCTAAATTATCGAAACTGCAAATCCGATAATGCTTTTGTGTTAGATACAACTCCCCGCCAATACCCGAACATGGAATCACGTCAAGGTGGTTTTATGAATTTGCTCCAAATCGGTTCCCCTATCCAACAAACACAACTTTTCCAACAACAATCCCAAGCTTTCACGCCTGATCAATAACCTTATCAACAAAAATTTCAACCCGATTTCGTATACCAACAACCTTTCCAACCACAACCTTCACAACCATAACCATCACAACCACCACTTTCATAACCCCCTCATTCGCCGGACTTTGTATCGAAAACACAACCTTCACCACCACCCCAACCAAAAAAAGAAAGGAAAAAAACCCGTTCGAACCAATACAACCGATAGGGTGCCATGGACAAAAGAGGAAGAAGAGAAGTTAGCAGATGCGTGGGTATAGACTTCCCAAGACCCAATGGAAGAAGATAGTCAAACCTTTAATTGTTTTTGGGAGAATGTGTGAAGCGTGTTCTTTGAGTTAATGGTAAGTGAAAATCAAAATCCCGACCAAATTAGCTCGAAGTGGTGCGATTTGATGCTAAAATGGACCGAATTTGGAGAAATTTACAACAACCTCAACAACTTACACAAAAGTGGATCAAGCAGTTCGATATGTTTAAGGTGACCTTCAATCAATATGAAAACACAACGAAAACCCGCAAAGCTTTTCCATATCTCAAACGGTGGCTAAAATTGAAAGATGCTCCAAAATGGAAAGAGCAAACCAAAGGAACTTCACAAACCTATTCCAGATCAAAGCATTCAAGAAACCTCGATGCAACTTCCCAACAATCGGACGAGCGGACACACATCGACATCAACGATGATCCGATAGATCTTGAAAACGAGTAACCTCTTCATCAGCTTGTTGGAAGAAATAAAGCAAAAAAAGCGGGTTCATCGGCTTCGGGATCTAGCGTTACCGATCATTTTGTAGACAAATTTAATTGATATGTCCAAATACAAAAGAGAAATGCGGAGATGTTGAATCAGGTGGAAAAAATGGTAGAAGCGCAAACATCATTTCAAGAGGCACACACGACGCTTCAAAACAAAAACCGATATGCAGATATTGAAAATGAAAGCGAACGACCTCGAGGGCGAAAATATGGAGATATAGGAACAGGGGGTAGGTTTTTTTTTGTTTTTTTTGTTTTTTTTTTGTTTTTAATGTTTAACATTTTTATGTTTTTTTTAACGTTGCATTTTTTTTAATTAATGTAAATTTTTTTAAAGTAATTTCTTATTTTAATTGAATTAAAAAAAAAACTAGCTTTAAAAAAAGTTATATGTTTTATAGTATTTTTGAATTTAAAAAAAAAATAATATGGAGTGATGTTTTAGTGGTAGGTATACCATAGATTTAATGGTTGAATGTGGTAATGATACGACACTCATCTAAGTAGTGATTATTATTTTGGACGTAATAAAAACAAATTTGAGAGAAAGTGTCACATAATTTCTTCAACAACCGTCCGTGCCTCATTTTCTTTTTGATTTTGTTTTTCTTCTTTTAAGTTACTTAGCTTTTAATAAAGACCTTAATTTCTAATTAATTACAATACAACAATTTTTGGCCATAAACAACACATAAATTTGTATAGTCCAAACATATAAAACACAAATTGTTGTGTATGGTTAAACCTGTTATGTACGGATCATCACCGTTGAACATGTTACTACTATAACTTTCTAATTATTTAATTTACATTATATCATACCTATATGAAATCATTAAACTCCAAACTCTCTGGAATATCCAAGTTGAACATGTTACTACTATAACTTTCTCTCTCATCCTCATTGCTGCTATTATTGATTATTTATTCCAAGTTGAACATGTTACTACTATAACTTTCTCTCTCATCCTCATTGCTGCTATTATTGATTATTGTTGATGACGAAACTAATGGTGTAGGGCTCGGCATGGATGATGAGTCATAGTTGACATGTTGGGTTGTAGGTAAATCATTTCCCCCATATGATGGTTGAAAATTTAAGCTTTCAGATGCTTGTTTGTTGTAATTTGGAATGTCAAAACAATCGTCCGTCACGCATGTACGCATCATAACATCTTGTATGGTATCACATTTAAGGTTAACCAAGCTCTCTGGAAAATCTTGCATATCATTTGTTTGCATGAGGTGTCTTGGATTCAAAATTCGAGTGCTTGGGACACTTAAAGGTCGATTTTGCTGATTAAGAGTCGGGTTCATAGGATTTAAGAGGCGATTGAAAAACAACTCATGGTTTTCTTTATTTGATGAACATGAGGATGATCCCAAGAATGTGGCAAGCGTTAGAACTTGAGGATTTACAAGAGTTTGAAGGTTAAGTAGGTTTGAGAGATTAAACCAAGCTGAATTCAGTATGGATGAAAGTTCCAAGAAGTCAATGCGAGGATTATGAGTCACTGGATCAATTCCATTCTTGAGTAGCCTTTTCCGTATGTGGGTGTTCCAGTAGTTCTTGATTTCATTGTCCGTTCTTCCAGGTAAGCGAGCAGCTATTAATGACCACCTATATATATAGCCATATTGAACTAAGTATAGTATAGCTTAGACCTTTGAAAAGTTGACAAAAAAATGGTGGAATGATGTATTTCTGTTCAGAAACCTCTAATAAAGTGAAATATAAATGGTATAAAACATTCCTTTTATAGAATATCTAAGCAGCGAAAATGAAGCAGTATAATGGTATTTAGATTGTATCTCTGTTCAGAATATCTAACTAGCGAAAATTAATATGATCTTAAAACTTTAATGCGCATTAATTTTGAGTAGTGAACTTAAATTAACTCACTTATTCCCAAGAATGCTATGTAGTTGGATGATGGTTTCTTCTTCTTCAAATGAAAATCTTCCTCTCTTTATATCAGGCCTCAAGTAGTTTGTCCATCGAAGGCGACAGCTTTTTCCACATCTCTGAAGCCCTGTTATAATCAAATATTAACATATTAGAAAAGGAAAAAGGTAATATTGTACTCTTTTAATGCAACCACAAATGATACTTACCAGCGTATTTGGGAAGGCTTCGCCATTTCCCAGGTCCATGTGCTCGAATGTATTGGATGAGTTTGAGATCTTCTTCTTCTGTCCATGGACCTTTTTTAAGCCCATCTTTCTCAAATGGCAGTTTTCTCATTTCTAGCTCTCTTTATCCCAACTGATCCCAAGGCTTTCGTTACTACTATGATCAGATTGTAAATATTAAACTCGGTTTTTTGGCAAGAACAATTGAGATTGGTAGGTCCAGAACGGAGGATGACTATTCCCATGTATATATAGAAGAGATTTTGTGGCAAAGGTTACGTAGTCAACAAGAATTCACACCGGCCACTCTCTATATCGTTTGGGTAACTAGGTGAAGGTAAATGTATTTGGATAAAACCGACACATGCTGAGTAATCAATGGGATTGACCTTTCTCTTAAAATTAATGGTGGGTGAGGTTGTTGGAAATTTCTATGAAGTTTCTTCTTCTTCTTTACACACACACTTCGTGATATCATTTCTTTTGATGTTTTACTTCCCTTGAAGTGGAAACATCCATGAACTTTCTTTAGTTCACATTAATTTGCTTTTAATTATATTATGTATTTTTTTTTTCTTTTTTGAAAACGACATTATTAAGGAAAGATAACTAGCTGCAATGAAACACTACATTCGATAAGAGTACTACAACGTACGCCATTTAATCCGGTTCAACTTACATCCTTTCCTCGTACCATGAGGATTAATCCACAAGAAAGTCACTGATGGCATCTCATTTGTGACATGATAATTGGAAGATTATTCCTAAATTCCACATGTCCCGTAACATACACATTCGTCAACAATTTCATTGGCCAAGTAATATCAACTGCATCAGGCTTCTCCATAGCGACCCTAAACATGTAATTAAGAGAGTCCATGCAAATTAAGATAAATATAGGTGGGTACCCAGCGAAATTTACACAACCGGTACCAAAGGTTTCTAAAATATTGGAACCGGAACTGATTGGATCGGTTTTCAATATTTTGGAATATCAAGTGCTTCTCGATCAGGGGAACTGCTTTAAAAAAAATATTTAAAGAATTAGTTACTCTCCATCTTCATTCTACTCCATAAAAGTAATCCATACCCCATCGATCTCTTAACATAAATTACTGTAGTCAAATTTGAAAATGGAAAAAAATTAGAGATAAAATATTGGCAACCAAAAAGTTGGTTTATTTATCGAAATGTAGTTTTGTGATTCTCTACACCTATTTAGACAATTACCAGCCCTATATATATATATATATATATATAGATATATATATATATATATATATATATATATATATATATATATATATATATATATATATATATATATAGAGGAGAGTTCAATTGAGAAAAAAAAAGGTTGAGAATGAGAGAATCATTCTCAGCCACACAGTTATTTTACCGCAAAACACTTGGACGTACCGACGGAAATGGATAACGGATAAATATGTGTTTTCCAACCAAACATGTTTTCTTAAACTATGCTAATCATTACCTTAATATACACAAAAACATACTCTTTTTTTGTTTTTTTATTTTTAGAAAACCATTTTTATCGAAAAATTATTTTAAATATATCAAAATTCATAACTTTTTATTCTCTATAAATAGACATCCATATTGATATAGTTTTAAGATAAAATAAAAAATTTATTTTTTTTAAAGTTTCAGATCTCGTTATTCATAAGTGAATAAAAATCTGATCAGATTTTTATTACAGTACATTCGTTATTCACTTATGAATAAATGTATGCTTTTTTTATATAGTTTAAGTATCGTTCATATATGAATATGACACGTAATAAAGTTTTTTTATTTAAAATATATTTTTTACATCATCTTTCGTCATATATTATATTTATATATGAATAAAACGTGTAGTAGTTGTCGTCATATTTTATATTCATATATGAATAAAACATTTATCTATTTTTGTTACAGTTAATTTGTTATTCATATATGAATAAGTACTATAAATGATACTTAAACTGTAAAAAAAATTAATTATATATTTTTATTCATAAGTGAATAACGAATGTACTGTAACAAAAATCTGATGCATTTTTATTCACTTATGAATAACGATAGCTGAATATATAAAAAAAATAATTTTTTTATTTTATCTAAAAAGCATATCAATATCGATGTCTATTTGTAGAGAATAAAAAATCATGAATTTTGGTAAAGTTAGAATCATTTTTCGATAAAAATAGTTTCTTAAAAATTAAAAAAAAACTATGTTTTTGTATATATTAAGGTAATGATTAACATAGTTTAAGGAAACATGTTTTGTTGGAAACACATGTGTATTCCTTATCCATTTATGCTGGTACAACGGAGACTTTTGCGGCAAAAATAAATGAGTGGCTGAGAATGATTCCCCCATTCTCAACCTTTTTTATTTTCTTAATTGAACTTACCTCCATATATATATATATATATATATAGATATATATTATATATATATATATATATATATATACTCCCTCCGTCCCAAAATTATAGTACATCTTTCGTTTTTGGTTTGTCCCAAAATAATAGTATTCTTTTAAAAATAAATAACATTTTTACCAAAATACCCCTCATTATTACTTAACCAATTAAACATTTAATAGAACATTAAATATAAAGTAAGGACAAAACGTCATTTTATTGTATAAAGTATTAATTGTGTGTTTTTTGTCTGTAGGAATAATTTTGGGACGGAGGGAGGATATATATATATATATATATTATATATATTATATTCATATATATCTTACTATATATATATATATCTATATATATATATATCTATATATATATAACGCGTTCAATCGAGAACATTTTTATTACGAAAACACTTGAGAACAAATTTGGACTACACAATTCTTAAATTAAAATAATCAAATAATATTAATATAAATATAAAAAAATTAAAAAACTCATTAACCAACATGATTCACCACTCAAACAAAACCACCCACCTCTACCACCCATCACTACCACCCCCACCCACCACCCAACACCATCATCACCGCCAACCACCACCAACTACGACCACCACCTATCACCACCGACCACCCCCCCCCCTCGCCCACCACCCACCAAAGCCACCATGCGCCGCCACCACCAACCATCACCACCCACCTCCACCACCCATCACTACCACCCACCCACCACCTACCATTATGACCACCAATCAGCACTACCACCAACCACCACCCGCCACCATAACCCTTCACTACTACCAGCCTCCACCACCCACCACCACCACCCCACCCACCCACCACTACTACCACCACCCTCCTCCCGCCCACAACCCATTAAAGCCACCACCCGCCACCACCACCCACCCCCACCACCCACCACCCATTACTCACCCATCACCACCACCCGCTTCCACCACCCATCACAACCACCACCCCCGCCCGCCCACCACTACTACCCGCCTCCACCACCTATCACCACCACCTTCCACAACCACCCCCACCCACTACCTACCAAGACCACCAGCACCATCACTACCGACCATCACCACCACCAACCATCACCCATGACCACCACCACCACCACCCACCTCCATTATCACCACCACCCACTACCACCACCACCAATCACCACCCATCACCCACCTACCACCACTCATCACCATCACCCGCCTCCACCACCCGCCACCACCACCCCTACCACCACCCATCATCACCACCACCGAGTACCACAAACACCCACCTACCACCACCATCCCTACCACGACCCACTAACATCATCACCACCTACCACCATCACCACCAACATTACCACATGCAACCACCATCCATCACCACCATCCTATATCACACACCCATCAACACTACCACCAACAACCCACCCACCACTTGTGAAACGTCCCAAAAATACAACCCAAAAATTTTTGTTCGAAAACATTACTAAAACCATAATATCAATTATCATATAATGAAATCATGAGTCGTGTATCTCAAATGTCATAATAAATGTATCAAATCAAAACCGATGTCAATATCATGTCAAAAATATCAGAGTCTACCTCCCAGGCTAAAACTGTGGTGTGTGCCATGCTATCATCCCGAGCCCTTCCCTTTGCTAGCTGAAGTACCTGAAACCAAAAACTGAAACTGTAAGCACGAAGCTTAGTGAGCTCCCCCAAACTACCACATACCATACAATAACATATAAAGCAACTACTGGGCCTTGCCCACTGCATCGGACCGAAGTCCAAAAACTGCATCGGAACGAAGTCCGGAACTAACCAGGGCCTTGCCCACTGCATCGAACCGAAGTCCGGAACTAACCAGGGCCTTGCCCACTGCATCGGACCGAAGTCTTGAAACTGCATCGGACCGAAGTCCGGAACTAACTGAACATAGCATGGCATAATCATAACTACTAGCATAAACACGTATACTGCATACTGCATCGGACCGAAGTCCGGAACACATAACACATAGACAGGCTTGAATCACAAAGACATCAAGCACACTGAACTATTGCATCGGACCGAAGTCTGGAACTACTGCTAACTAAACGGGCCGGCATTGTGGCCGTAGACCCGTTCCTACTGGAAGGAAACTCACCTCGAAACGCTGGCTGCTGAGATGCTAAATCTGAAACTGTCTACTGCTGCTCCGAAACTCCCCGGCTACAAATCCCATAAACACTAAATCAAATACTGATAGCTACTCTCAGGGTAAAAATGACCATTTTACCCTTCTGATAAGAGTCAACGCTAAGGTCAAAGTCAACTCTCAGTCAACCCAACTCGCCGAGTCCCTCTACCGACTCGTCGAGTTCAAACGGTCATAACATCGGGACATCTCGATTCTACTCGTCGAGTCTCACCTTGGACTCGTCGAGCTCTTTTGTTTCTGAGTCTCACTCCTGTCCAACTCGCTGAGTCATCTCCTTAACTCAGTGGTATCACTCATAATCGAAGAAGGGTTTGGGGACATCGATCCGACTCGTCGAGTCCCAAGAACAACTCGGCGAGTCCATTGCATGTTCAGACTATACAGTTGTTCCTAGGTGATTCCACTGCCTCCAATTCATAGATATGGACTCCTTAGGCTAGAATAACACGTAAAGTTGCTAACTTTACGTGCATGCATGATGCAATGA